GTTTTTTGTTGTGCATTATGTTAAAAAATAATAAAAAAGATACTTTGATCAAAAAAAAGAAATACAAACTTGTGTACGTGTGTGTGTGTGTACGTGGTTGGGGGGTGAGGCAGGTGGGGGCAGTTTTTTTATGCAGGAGTAAATTTTGACTGACTTTAATCTACAACCACAATACGTTTCAATATTTCCTCATGTAACTGAAATATCCTCCTACCCTCCAATTGTAAGTTGCGCATAGCGAGGCATATAAATCATGGCCTCCCCTAGAAAATTTTTAATTTAGTAGATGCAGTTTCCTGCATTCTGGTGTATTTTACAGGTTCCTAAACATACTTATTAATGACTTATAAATAACTAAATTAGAGACAGATTCTTCATTTAATTAGTTGCATCGTCTTGTTTTTTTAACTCACTGCTATAGCCATGATAATAAAGTAAATGTGACACAATTTATCACAAAGATTTTAGAGAATAATTTTACGTTTGTATTGTTTATTCTTGATTTAGTTTTAATTGTAACAGAACATGCCATTGTGCCAAGCAATGATGAGCCTCAACTGCATGTTTAAAACTAAGAACATTAAAAACTTTACCCAGTAAACAGGTAAAATAACCACCAACAGTGAATTTAGAAGGCATTTCTTTGCCTGATTTAATGCCAAGTCCACTCATAACAAACTGACATGACATCATGCAGCCTTCAGAACATAAACTAACTCTGTGCCAAACAATGGTGACATAAAGAAAATAACTTTTGTCAGTTTTGTCAGCTTGTGTTTTGAAAAACTGATACATGGCTGTTTGGAACTGGTTAGAACACTAATGATGGATTGACAGATTTATTTTTTGACCTTTATTTGACCAGAAAAATCCTAATTATTTATTTGAAAATTAAAACAAATATCTTTCTATTATGCTGAACAAAATAACTTCAAAATACTTTTTATTAGTTGGAATGATTTATTTTAAACAGTTATTTAAATTGTTCAAGCTCATGTAATCATTTAATACTGTTTATTCTACATATTTGATCAATTATTGAATTACATTTATCACAGTTCTGACAGTATGGTTCTAAAAACGAAACTAATCTGACCGCTGCAGACTGCTTCACCTGCTSCTTTACTGACCCGCCTCTGCTCCGCTCTGATTGGATAAAAGTGCACTGGGGTTTGTTTCATTTGTTGAAAGTAGTGGCGTGACTAGGCGGCTTTGACAACACCGCAACAGAACCAGAGTTGTTGTATTTTTTCCCCCTCCTTTACAAATGACGGAAATCCGTCCTGGCCACATTCAAAGTGACGGAATTCCGTCGTGGTGACGGAGAACTTTAAGCCCTGCGTTTTTATAAGAAACAATGAAAACATTGTTGGATCTCATTACTAGATAAATTCATTACCACCTGGAASATTATCATTTTTCTGCCAACAAAACAATTGTGAAAATCACTAGAGTACCACCTCCTAGTTRAAATGTTCTTTTATTTTTCTGACTCACCTTATTACATATGTGCGAAATGGTATGATATGCTGCATAACTGCAGGGATGTGCAGCCATATTCTTATCTGTGGAAGAAACAAAATACAAATAATTAAACATTAAAACTAGTGGTGTACCAACATCAGTTTTTCTCAAATTGAGTATGCGATCCAGAGTACAGAAACAGAGTACCGTATTTTTCGGACTATAAGCCGCGACTTTTTTCCTGAACTTTGAACCATGCGGCTTATAGTCCGGTGCGGCTTATAAGTGGATTTTTTTCTTCAGCCACCAGGGGGCTCTTATGCTCCATTTGCTTCAACCACTCGCTTCAAAAAAAGAAGAAGAAAAAAAAGGCGATCCTTCCAGAGCTGACCGTTGACCAGGAAGCAGCGATTTAAAGATAYTCAATGGCCAAAAACTCATAAAAGGGGATAAAACAGACATTTTTCAAGGTGGAATCTGACTGATAAAAACTTTGGAGCTTAATCCAGGACCAGTTTGTGGATAAACGTCGAGTGAAGAGCTGCTGACTTTTTTTTTTCGGCATTGCACTCCCCGGGGAAGGAATCCCATTCAGTGACGTCTGCTGGAGCGGGAGGGGTTTCCCAGCAGCTGGGCTCTGGGTTTCTCAGGGGAACTATCAAAGGTCAGTGCGAAAACAAACGCCGAACAATCACGTGACGGCGTGTCGACCGGTCAACAGCTGAGCGACTATACTGCCAGCTTAGCCAGAGATGTAGCGCCATTTTGTTTTAGCTAGTAGCAGACACAACACGACAGATCTTCGACAGACACGATATTGGACAGTATGCGGGCCCACATCAAGGATTCGGTGAAAGCAGCCATCAAGAAAACAAACT